CCATAGTGTCAGTATGGTGGATGTCAATATGGTAAAGGTCACAGTGTCAGTATGGTGGATGTCACTACATCAATATGGTAAAGGTCATAGTATCAGTATGGTGGATGTCACTACATAAATATGGTAAAGGTCATAGTGTCAGTATGGTGGATGTCACTACAGCAATATGGTTAAGGTCATAGTATCAGTATGGTGGATGTCAATATGGTAAAGGTCATAGTGTCAGTATGGTGGATGTCAATATGGTAAAGGTCATAGTGTCAGTTTGGTGGATGTCACTACATAAATATGGTAAATGTCATAGTGTCAGTATGGTGGATGGTCACTACATCAATATTGTAAAGGTCATAATGTCAGTATGGTGGATGTCAATATGGTAAAGGCCATAGTGTCAGTATGGTGGATGTCAATATGGTAAAGGTCACAGTGTCAGTATGGTGGATGTCACTACATCAATATGGTAAAGGTCATAGTATCAGTATGGTGGATGTCACTACATAAATATGGTAAAGGTCATAGTGTCAGTATGGTGGATGTCACTACAGCAATATGGTTAAGGTCATAGTATCAGTATGGTGGATGTCAATATGGTAAAGGTCATAGTGTCAGTATGGTGGATGTCAATATGGTAAAGGTCATAGTGTCAGTTTGGTGGATGTCACTACATAAATATGGTAAATGTCATAGTGTCAGTATGGTGGATGGTCACTACATCAATATGGTAAATGTGTCCATTAATGGTTGTGTATCATTTGAAAATAGTAGCAGCTGGTGTAAGGGCTTCGTAATGTTTGAGAATTGTAACAGCTTGGCGAATGACTCACTAATGCTTCACCATTTAAAAATAATAGCATGATGAAAGTTGCAACATCATTGGAGGAAATCTTACCTCATTAATTGGGCTTCTTTTAAGAATTCTTCCTTTTCTTGATCAGTAGCACCTTTTCTTAATGTCTGTTAAAATTGAAACACAAACAAACATCAATGAAATAAGAATCAATGATGAAAATAACATTATTAATTATACAAGTGAGATATGAGAAAATACAATTCAAATCACTGAATAAAGTGAGACTTAGTACAAATGTCTTCAATCTGCCATTTATAACTTGAAAATTGTACTTGTGATTCACCAAATTTAAACTTGGTTGACATTCCCTACAATGTACCTAGTGATTGATAAGAGTCTCAAATTTGAAGATGATTAGATAAAAATTGTTCATCCATCCATTCCATCCATCCATCCATCCATCCATCCATACAAATTTAAACAAATTATCATGACTGATATGAATACCAAATTTGAAAGAATTAGTCAAGGCATGTCTGAGAAACGAGTGATGACTTTTTCAAACATTGATAGTATTTTTGACTAAAATAGTCAAATTAATGTGCATACATGTATGCATCTCAATTATGACATGTCTTTGTATCAACATTGAACAAAATTTAATCAGGTATGTCTGATAGAAACATAAAACCCAAAACATAATACCTCATTGAACTGAACTGAAATCATACATAAATTGTCAAGTTTAAAGGCCCAGGTATACTATAAATACGCTCCTAAACAATGAAGATTATTTCTTTGCTTGTCACGCTGTAGTAAACAGCTCCAGCTAAGCTCCGGTAAAGACATGTTTTCTCAAACTTACAGGTCGATTATGTTGTGCCAAAGTGGATGGATGTGACTATGAATATCACAGCACTGACTGTGTGTAGTATTTATGACAATAAATTGTGTACGAGCTGAGATTTTGGCGAAAAGAAGTAAAAAACATGAACCGGGGAAAGGGACGCGCTACTAATCTCGAATAATTAACTACTGTCAATCAAAGTCACGTGATGTTGAACCACTGAAACAGGATGCGTCATAGGCTATGCAAGTGATTAACAACACTCATTAGCATAGCCACACCTCCAATTCACACTTGCCCGGGGCAAGTGAATTGGGCCTTTAAGACAAAAAAGGCAACAAATGCTATTAACACAAACAATAAATACAATACCAATGACGTACATGCAGCTTCATTATGTGCAAGGTAAAAATCAAAGAAAGCTTAGAAAGAACTCCCATGTGCTGAGAGTATTGGAGACACATTAAATATTCAAAATTACTTGTCAGAGATAGTGATAGAAAAGCCGAAAACTAATAGTGCAAATCAGAAAATTAATATGAACAGATTTTAATGGAAAACTAATGAGGTCTGCACAATGTAACAGACCATCTATGTACCAAGTTTTATTGAAATGTGATTGGAACCCGAAAAAAATTATAAATTATTATGCTAATTAGGGAATTAATATAAACAGATTTTAATCCCAAACTAATCAGGTTTGTACATTGTCCTAGAGCATCTTTGCACTAAGTTTCATTGAAATGGAATAATTAGTACTTTAGATATCAGTGTGATAACTTAAAAGTGGTTAATTATGTAAATTATTAATTAATATGTACAGATTTTAACCCACAATTATCCAGGTCTGTCTATTATCCTACATCATCCATGTACAAAGTTTTATTGAGATGTGATAATTAGTAATTGAGAAATCAGTGTGAAAGCTGAAAATTAATTAATTATGCAAATTAGGTAATTAATATACACAATTATTTACCCTAAAACTAATCAGGTCTCTGGATAGTCCTAAAGGATCTAATTATGCAAATTAGGTAATTAATATGCACAAATATTTATCCCAAAACAATCAATCTCTGCATAGTCCTTGAGTACAGTACAGTTCTCGCGGAAGCTTTGGCTTTTGTGGCATCATTGTCGCATACGCATGGCTTCATTGTCGCCTCAGCATCGCATCATTGTGGCATCAGCTTCGCGTCATTGAAAATTGAAGCTGTGTTCGCCTCTCTTATTTTGTGGCATCATCGTGGCCTCAGCCTCGCAGTCTCATGGCATCAACATGGCATCAGCTTCAAAGTATTGTGACATGAGTATGACCTCATTATTTTCACATGGAAAGGCAGTAGAGAAAAAACACATGTACAGAAGTTCGATATGTAATCGATTTGAAATTCAAAGCAGTAAGGGGAATAAAATAATATGACCAAGAGTAAAATGACATTTTAAAAAGATATCTTGTTTAATTATTTAATGTTGCGAGTATTGGGTACCAAAAACTATGTGAAGTACATTGCAATCTGCAAGGTGACGAGTGTCATATTGACTGCAAGGAAAAACGTGATTAATTTAAATCACATGATGCAATCGTCGTTCGAAAACAACACAATTTGCTATACGAAATGAAACTGTTCTTGTTATAAAATTACCTTATTTTCGTTCATTTTATTTGCTGGTAAGAGAACAGATTCAGATTCCTCATTTTGGTGGTATTTTTCTGTGTTTTGTTTAGTTTTAGCCGAGTCCGATCCCATGCCCGGACTACTAATACATGCAAAACACGCGAACGCCGCCTGGCGTTGTCGCCTGCCATCTTGATACAAAGTTCCAAAACAAGTGCGTACATTTCCAACTATGATTGGATGGGTTGTGGTGGCGTCGGTCTGGTAAAATTTTACATCC